GTTTGTAAAGTCTACTGGGATCCAAGCGGTTCCGCCTATCACTTGCGATGTTGCCGGCAATTGAAAAAAAGCGTTCACAAGAAACAGATGATCCCACGATACTCATATACGTCATGGCTATTGAGTGAAGGTCGTGATAAATAGAGGCGAATGAAACTAAGCATACAGCCATCTCGCGAGTTTTAGAGTAATTAACCCTTTAATCGGCGAGACCGTAATGTTACGGATATATTCAACTAATTGTAAATAATTTTATGGTTTTAGCCAAAACAAAAAAAAAACGAATGGCGATTTTCACGGGTGAAATATTGGTCCACTGGATCGATTCAGTACTGTATATCGAATTAAAAAAATCGAACTTTGAGGCCTGAAAAATCGATTCTTTGTTTAATCGATTTTAGATCGCCATCCCTAGTTCTAAGTACGGATGTGACATTGAGTGAAAAAAAAATCGATTACAAAAAAATCGATTATTTGCTTTGTGACATTAATCGATTTAGTAAAAATACATTTAATAAAAATTATTCGAAAAAATGCATGCTTTCCTATATATATATTAATAAAAATACGAGATTAGTACATATAGCATTAAAAATTTATCAGAATAAAAATCAATTAAAATGATAAGTATAAAAAATAATCAGAACGACAATCTTCTGGTTTCAAAACTAAATTACAAAACAATTTTTTTATCCTATAAATTTTAACAATAAAAAACTAAAAATAATTACTGCTACTATATATACATGTCACTTAACAATTTATTAGAACCAAAATAAAAGTTTAGTAAACGATAGTTTTTTTAAAGTAAATTTGAACAAACAAAAAATCTAAATACCTATCATTATTGCCACAAATGTTCAGTAACATTGACACTGGATTAGAATGAAAAAAATAAAATAAAACTATAAGTTTAAATAATCAAACCTTTTGGTCTCAAAACTAATATAAAAAATAAATCTTTTTTAAACTTTAAGTTTAAACAAAAAAACTAGTTACCGACCAAGTATATTTTTTATACATATACAGATAGGTAACGCATGTTAATAAAAACAGTAATTGTAATAGTCATGTAGCAATATATTTATTTATTTTAAAGTAATAATCAACAATTCGACGTTAAGAAATAATTTTTAAGTCAATTTTGTAAAAAAAATCAACACTTATTACGTGGTAGAGCCATACTGTAGCTATATTAGTAGTATAGTTGTAGCACGAATGGGTCGGCTCGACCGGGGAAGGACCACGCTCTCTCAGAATACCAGCGTAAAATAGCAGCTTAACACTGATGTGTTTCGTATAGTGAGTGTAAAGAACTGGAGAGCTTTTTTTACTAGAAAAGAGGCGTTCCATCTTAGTCCTCACGGGTGACAACGCATCTGAATTTTGATTCTTTATTGAGGATAGATGTGAATGTCTATGGGTCATAGCAACCACTTACCATCAGGTGGACTGTGTGCTCGTTTGTCGCCCTATCCTATAAAAAAAACTTACACCCATAAAAAGTTACTCCTTAATTGAGAACATATTTTATTGTGTTTACAATATTATATCTTTTCAAAATGTTGTCCATTTACATCAATACATCGCTGCATCCGATTGAACCACTGAGAAAAGCACTTAGCTCACTCGTCCTTAGGGGTCTCTTCGACGGTATTTTGAAACGCAGCCACTGCTTTCTCGGCGTCCATAAAACGTTTTCTTCGAAGTTTTTCTTTTATTTTCGAAAATAAATAAAAATCGCAAGGTGCGAGGTCAGGGCGGGTGACCCAGTAATTCTACGTCTGACGTCACCAAGTAGTCGATTGTTTGCTTGGCGGTGTGCGACGAGGTGTTGTCGTGGTGAAGCAGGATCCCACTGCGAGATCGTTTCTCCCAAACCTTTACCAAAACAAGTGACAAACAATTGTTAGTGTACCACTCTGCAGTAACTGTTTTTCGATCCTCTAAAACAATTGTGGCGTAATGATGAAAGATGAAGATGAATATAGAAAGATGGTGGCCTCCTTCCAAAGAACGAGGCCACCATCTTTTTTCTCACGCTTCAACCTCTCTTCACTTTAGTTGGCAACTCCTCGGAAGGGAACACCCAGACAGCAGACTGTCTTTTAATTTCAGGATCATAACTATAAATCCAGCTTTCGTCACCCGTAAGTATGTCCAACACAACATTTGAGTCACATCCGTTAAATCTTTGAACCATTTCACGACACCAATCCACCAAAAGGTATCCACCGGGCACAAAGCTTCCTGACCGCTAAATGTTCATAGAACATTTTGTGCAATTGACTCATACCGATGCCTAAGCTTGTCCGAATCTGCTGATAAGTCACTCTTTTGTTAGTCTCTATGATACGCTGCACAACACTGATGTTACTTCAGTCGTCGCCGTAGACGGCTGTCCCTCACGCAGATCATCGGTGAGAGTAGTGCGACCACGTTTAAACTCATTAATACAGTTGTAAACAGTGGCACGATATGGGGCTTTATCGTGAAAGCTCAATCGAAATCGCGTTTGACTAAGTCCATCGCCCGATGGTGTGAGGTGACTTGCGCGCAGCCGGGGGGGGGGGGGGGGGGCAGCGGGATGCCGCTTCCCGGCATTCGGCCTTGTGGGCTAGTAACAGTAGCTTGACAGCAGCGGCGCGGTCGATTAGCGTATTTTGGTGACCGCTGCATCGTTTTCGCGCGACCAGTTTTTTTGGTTTTGTGGTCTAGAATTTGAGTCTTTGTGCGCGTTTAATTTACTATTGGAGTTTTCGCTTCTAATGTTTGGTTATCTTTAGTGCGTTCACGCGATAACGAAGTCGTAATATTTTGATTGATTAACTTAAATTCGTTGGCAAGTAATTTACGTAAATTGTATAGTGATTTCCGGTTGAAGTGCTTTGACAATATTAATTTGCGTCGACGAGTTGCTTGTGGCATTTGATGTAACTCGGAGATAGTTTCCTGTGTCGGTTAAAACGCTAAACTTTATGACCCGTGAGAAACAGCGTTCGTATTAGATTATAGATTTGTGCTAAGGGACGCTAGACTTTGAGTGACATCGAGGTGACGCCGCTGGGGGATACCACACCGTGTAGCGGTGCCGGAGTCAGGGCTGCTGCCGATTAAAAGGGTTAAGTCAGGTTTCATATTTTACACACCTTCTAACACATCAACCGTCTGACCGAGCCTTGGGGTCAGTCTTAGCTTCGGAACCAGGTACGTACTATTTATTTACCTAGGCTTATATCTATTGTGTAGAATAATAAGTCTCTATAGGTCGTTGGGCCCCACCCTTAGTTGTCCGTCGAATCTACAGCTGTATGGTTTATCTTTTTTGGTGCAGCTAGGGGCATGTACAATAATATTGGCAAAGAGTTCCATTTTCAAAATTGGAACTTATTTTTTTTATTATTTCGTTTACAAGTGGCCAGTTTTAAAAGCTTTCTGTGTCGCCTTTGTATGTCGTGTCAAAGCGTTTTTTGGAAGGATAGATTTATTGAGTAGATCCTTGGTACGAAAGAAAAAAGGCCTCGCTGATGCAACTTTGGCCACGTTTATATTAGTCCAGGCTACGCCTCTGATTGTAAGCTATTAATTCCTATTAATCCCGCTGGGTTTCTTGCCGGTTCTTCCAAGGACAGACATTTTTTTATCGAACCAGTGGTAATTAAACAAAAGAGTGTCTTTCAGTAAGTATTATTTACAATCTGTATAATTATGAATAATACACGAATCACGAACTCATCCAAACAACGCACGATACTCCACGAGCACTGAAAATTGGCGCCGCCGAAGGTTTGGCAGATTTTTTGCCGAAACCGAAACTATTACCGAAACTAGATTTTCTGCCGAAACTTGCGCAAACCGAAACCGAAACCGAATCTTCGGTCGGTCACTAAAAAAACTATAAATAATTATTGCCACTAATGTCAAAAATAATCAGAACGACAATATTCCGGTTTCAAAACTATTTGATATCATTTACATTGGACTAGAATGAAAATTAAAATAAAAATATAATTATAAATAATCAAACGACAACCTTTTGGTCTCAAACCTAAAAAACAAGAAAAATCTTTATTTTTTAACTTGTGTAAACAAAAAAGTAAAAAAAAATATTGCCATGAATTTTCAGTTAAAGAGTTTAAAACTAATTTTACCAACATTCTTCTTCGTCTGTTTTGTAAAATAGTTTCATTTTTTCCTGACAATATTTCCCGCTTTAAAAATAATGTTTCGGCTGGCGCGGAACTGGCCATCATAAAGAGGTGTTTAAGAGCCAATTCGGTTAGCTTAGAGAAAGTTTCTTCAGAGCTCCATATATTGAGAGCATCCGTCTTGAGATTTGATAGTGCTGCCGCAACATATAGGTCTAATTCAGTATTTGTGCCTATTGCCGTGTTGGCCGCTATTATTTTTTCATTATAAAATACTTCCGTCAGCCACTTTTAGGTGTTTTACAATACATTTTTATTGGTTAACCATTATTTACACTCTCTAAAGAAAGAAAGAAAACCACAGAATACTTTTACTCGTAGCGGAGAAAGAAAACTGTTGAAAACATACGAAAGGCGAACCTGTTTTACATACATAGAGATACATACAGGTGGCGCCGTCTTTTGATGACTTTTTCATGTTAGTGAACTTACTTCGCGTTTTTCCATCTGTCGCAAAGATGACACTTTTCTTTTGATCGACTTATTCATGATATTGAACTTCAGGTTTTTACATCCATCGCACAGATAACGCTGATTACAAAAATCGATTAAAATACGTAATTTTCATAATCGATTTATCAAAAACCGATTTTTCTTGGCAAAAATAATCTACGATTATAAGGAAAAAATCGATTAATATGAAAATCGATTATTTTTCACATCCCTAGCTCTAAGATTGTAGAGCCTGCTGGTTATCATCAATCACCGAAATCGAAAGGTCGTACGGGTCAGGTGGAAGCGATTATTGTGGCGTAAAGTAATAAGTTAAAGTAATTAAATTACTGTCTAAAAATGTTCTCCCGCGCTCTAAAACCCGTTGCCACTGTAGCAGTCCAGAATGGCGCAAAGAACTTCTCCACTACATCACAGGTTTAGTCCATAATATGCTTATCATTACGTACTTAATAATCTCCACGCCAGCTATAGTTCCAAATCCTAGTATACTATTTTGTTACTTGCTCTTTTATCTAGAATAAAATATGTTATTGGAATGCATAATATATTTTACAGAAAAATTTCAAAGTGGTGGTGGCGGGTGCCTCTGGTGGTATTGGCCAGCCTTTGGCCTTATTGCTGAAACAGAATCCTTTGGTCACAAAGCTTGCACTATACGATATTGCGCCCGTGACCCCTGGCGTAGCCGTCGACCTTTCTCACATGGACACGCCGGCCAAGGTCACCGGTCATAAGGGTCCTGAAGAGCTTTCAGCCGCTATTAAAGGTAAAGTATATATTTTAACATGTTCATTATAAAATCTTAGAACATAAGCTATTACATAACACTAGTCTTATCTATCTGTGAGTTAACATGTCTAACCTAATTCTAGTGTTAGATTCTTTGCCAAGGGCAAACTATTAACATATCATAAAGAATATTTATGTACCTGACATCTAAATGATTAAAAAGTGTAATGCAAATTGGAATATTTTATGTTGCAATGGACTTTGTTATCACTTACAGTGTATAAAATCTAAGAAACAGCTTTTGATATGACATATTTTTAATAAGTTGTAATTTGTACAAGCATACCTACACAAATTTTAACAAACTTCTACATAAAGCCAAGGAAATATGAAGTTATTTGTATTTTATAACAATGACTGAAGAAACATTCAGTGTAGGTACCAATTTTCAGGTCCACATGCTTAGTACAAATCTGATAGCTGTTAAAAGGTATGTCTTAGATTTGTTGCACTACGATTTTTAGATCAGGTTTATTAGTTATATTAATAGTAATATAAACATTATGTTAATATACCTTATAACCAGCATCACTGTGTTTCTTGTGTGTTTTAATGCATAAACTTCATTAATTGTAAACTGATCTGAATAATTCAATCAAGATTAATCAAACCACAGTAACCGTGGTTCCATCAGTCAATGGTAACAATAGCAGTGTAAGATCCGTAAAAGGCGATAGAGGGAAACTAAAACAGGAGTTGGGCAGCAACATCTTTCTGGTAACTTGGCAACCTCCCCCTAGGAGGCAATCTATGGGAAAAATCTATGTATAGCAGTGGAAATAGGCTGGATGGATGGGGATGGGTGATCGAAACAAGCGGAATACTTGAGAGGCAAAAGATGTGAATGGTGCCTAATTAATTGTTTTATTTGAGAATTAGTTGTCAATGAGCTTTTTTGTGGGATATTTCTAATATTGCTTAAGATTAAGTTGTATCTACTTACTTCTATATACTTATGTCATTATGACTTTGTATACAAAGTTTACGTCAGTCACACCAAATTTATGGAGTTGAGTTTTTTAACAAATTAACCTAGAAATTGTTTCATCAGGTACATCTAGTAGGCTTAGGTGCTGTGAAATTTAGAAAAGTTAACAGTTTAATAAAAAATTGAAGAACAAACAATAAGAATTGGCTAGTTTGGGTCATCAAGAATGAGAAAACTTTGTTTTAAAAGTTATTCATTAAACATACAAGTTTCCTTACGATTTTTATTTCACCGAAGAGCATGTGGTAAATTGGTATTTAAAATTGCAAATAACAATTGCAATGACGCCCCGTGAGATATGTTGCTACCTTGCTCACCGTTACTATTACAACCTATTAAAGTACACTGTTGAACACAGGCGTGCCCCATAGATTGCCTCATGGGGGAAATATTTGCCTTAGATGCCACGGCTGGCAAGTAGGTTGGTAACTGCAGTTTTTTATTGTTTTGAGTTTTTTTTTTATAGGATAGCGTGACAAACAAGCACTCAGTCCATCTGATGGTAAGTGGGTCGGCTCGACCAGGGAAGGACCACGCTCTCACAGAATACCAGCGTAAAATGGCAGCTTGACACTGCTGTGTTTCGTGTGGTGAGTGTAGAGAACTGGAGAGTCATTTTACTGGAAAAGAGGCATTCCATCTTAGTCCTCACGGGTGACGACGCATCTGCATTTTAATTCTTTGAGGATAAATATAGATGTCTATGGGTCATAGCAACCACTTACCATCAGGTGAACTGTGTGCTCGTTTGTCACTCTATCCTATAGAAAAAACGCATCCTGAGGATTGACGAGAAGATCCTGAAGCTTTAGTTAGAGATAGACAAGTTACGCTGGAATATTATAGGATTATCTTCCATGTTCGCTGAACAAAAGGCAAGAAAAGTGTATATTTGATTTTAATTGTTTGGCTAACTTAGTTCCTAGGAGTATTAATTGTAAGTAATAACTAGTAATCAATAATATATAATAATTTTAACTCAAAGCAAAAGCTTTTGTTTTGTTCCTTTTATGAAATCTTTACTCTTCATTGGGGCCCCCCAACAAATTTTGATACAGGGCCCATCTAAGGCACACTACGCTACGCCACTGACCTAAACGTTAAGTTGTAGAGGTCATGTCTAATGAAGTCAACGCTCTGTCCCACTCATGCTTTAATCCAAAGTCCCGCAACCTTTCAGCTCGAGTTACAAAACTGTTTTCAGTGCCTATAACATTTCAATGCAGTGGACGATATGAATGACAAGCTCATGGAAACTGTCCATACGGTCGGAGCTAAGTTTTGCAAGACCCTAGGCTAAACCTAGGTGTACCCACACTTTGGCTTTTAGCCGTAACATATAATATACTCATACTTTTATTTTGAAACCCAACTTTTCAATGATAATAACTGTGTGACCATCTGCGTGACAACTACAACAGTAACAATAGGTTCACCTTAGTTCCACCTAGCGACATCTGGTGAGCGTAAGATTAAACCCTCATTGGCACATACTCAAGTCTACATGGAGCAGTTGATAAAGATACTGAGGTTGTTAAAGACCAAATGTCAGCAAAAATATTGTTGGGAATCTCAATGATTTTTCATTACCTGAAGCTAATATCGAAGTAAATCATTTAACACAACAGATGCGGATGTCGTGGTGATCCCGGCTGGTGTGCCCCGCAAACCTGGCATGACCCGAGATGATTTGTTCAACACAAACGCGTCCATCGTCCGTGACCTTGCCGCCTCCATCGCACAGAACTCACCCAAAGCCATCGTCGCCATCATCACCAACCCTGTCAATTCCATGGTGCCCATTGCATCAGAGGTCCTTAAGAAGGTAATATTTACTTTTTATGATGTATATTTATTGCATGTAAATGGTGTAGTCCATAAACACTTAGATCTGTCCTCGATTGAGAATCAAAATATAGACGCAAATGCGTTTCCGCCACTGAGGACCAAGATGGAACGCCTTCTTACAGGCAAAAAGGGTAAAGGCTAGACAGGAGGGTAGTAGAAAGGATAGACTGCTTGGAGATTTTCTGTGTGATACAATCTGTATTACCAACCATAGATCCAGAGTAGCTGACATAGCAATAAGACGGCCATACAGCTCTAATAACTGACAACCAAAAAAGGAAAGAAACATTCTCGATTGGCAGCCTTGTATGGCCCCCCTTACAAGATGGAATAAGAACTTGGTAAAATATGAAGGAAGTCTATGGATACAGGTGCCTGAGGACTGTGTTTTATGACATTCCTTCTGGGAGGCCTACGTTCAACAAATTGAGGCCTGGCCATGTGCGGTGTAGACTCGTTTGTTGCTTGCTGAATATAGAACCAATAACAAAACAATCTGATAGTGGAAATAGTGTTGCAAGCCTAAAAATCGCCTAGGTACTTTATGAATTGCACAATCGCACACTTTATATGTCGCACAAAACCTTTTAATCTGAGTGGTATTTATGCTAATGTAAGGAAACTATAACTTTTTTATAGATACGTTTAATAGAGTCATAACAGCGACATAAGCCTGGCTTTATCATGCAGTGGCGGTGTAAGAATATCCATTTTCCCATATCGTGCCGCGGGTGTCGTAAGAAGCGACACAATGAAACAACCCAGGAGATGAGCGGCAGCATCTTCCTAATAACTCTAAAAAATAAAAAAACGGCGGTTGCCATCCCGCCTGCCAAGAGTGGCAACTGTGGTAGTGGTAAATATCCTCCCTATGAGGCAATCTGACACCACTCACTAAACATAAGCAACCTTTTGCTTTAACGGTAAGCTTGGCTTACGTCAAATTACACTACACTCTTGCTGTTATTTTTTTTATTATTCTAAGCCAGTACTTAACTATAACCCCACATGATGGTAAGTGGTGATATAGCCTAAGACGGTTGAAGTGCATTGACTTAACAAAAACCTATTCACTATTTAGTTTATTTTTGTTATAATTCCTAAGATGGCCCTGACATTACACTATACCAAATGCTTGAAGACCGACTACCTACTTTAGTGGATTTAAAGCCAAATGTATCCCGACTACGACATTATTTACCACGGTTTTATTAAGCCAGTTTCTTGTTTGTCTGGCGTTTCGGGTGGACTTTAGTAATTGATTTTAAACAAACTTTCTGATGAGCAGGAAACTTGAAATTTAGAATAAAGAAAAAAAAATTCGGACAATGCAAAAATATGATAAAAGAACGAGGTAATAATTAAATAAAATTAAAAAAAAATCACTGGTTATTTTTAAATTGTGTAGATTAGGAAACTATTTTATGTCGAATCGTTGAAAATCAAATAGAAGCATATCTTATATTTTGTTTTATTGTGTGACACGTGAAGTAGTGTTTTTATTTACTAGTGTTACCTCTATGTTATATATTACTTCGGCAAAACCGCGGAAAGCAACTACTTGGGTTGATGTAAATTGATAACATATTGCTCACTGTTTCACACGTATCAGAAATATGATCCACGGCTGGTGCAAGGAAACTGTACAAGTTCGTTATTTTATTATGGCAGTTTTGATTTTATTTTAGTTCATATTGTAGTACTTATTAAATCTTTGCCTGGCATATGTTGGCTCTTTTTTAGCCAACTTCAAAAAAGGAGGAGGTTCTCGTTTTGAATATGTTATCTTTTTTGTATGAATGTTACGCGATATCTTGATCAATTTTAAGCCTATTTTAATGGTTCTTGAATTATTAAAAAGGTTATAACTCAGGTGTGGGCCCATATGAAATAGAAGAAAAACTTCCATCCCTAAGGGTAGAAATCAGGGTATGAATATTTTAATGTAACTATTCAGACGAAATCTCAGCTTGTGATATACGAGTACCTAAGTAAACGAAAGGAAGGAAAGGGTTAAAAAAGACTTAAAAAAAGGAAAAGCCATAAGATTAAAATAATATTAACTTAACAACTCCACAAATCGGGGTTTAATAAATCGCTGGCGCGTGCACAACAACTCGTCAAAGTTACATCGTAATCCGATGAATTTTATAGTAACGCATAAAAGACAAACAAAGGAACAAATTTTATGTTAAACTAGCTGGTACCCGGCGCGTTGTTGACGTAGGATAAATATTTGTGCAAATATCGTTTTAAATTTGGAACAGTTATATTGTTTAATTAGGAATGACACATTCATTGAAATTGAATGACATAATATTATGACTCAAATAAATATGCCGTTGCGACACGCGCGCCACCTACTGTAATTTAATTGTACTATGCCTATAACCTGTATAGTTTCATTGTATTGTACTGTTACAGCATGCAATATGTATATTTTTTTAAAGATAGTAATAGTAAATAAATTTAACATTAAACAGAATTTCATTCTTGAAAAATAGTAGGACTTCAAAAGTAATACCGTGTCTTCCTCAGGCTGGCGTATACGACCCAGCTAGGGTCCTTGGTGTAACTACCCTGGATGTTGTCCGTGCTGCGGCATTCATCGGCGAGATCAACGGTGTGGACCCCAGAACAGTCACCATCCCCGTCATCGGTGGTCACTCTGGTGTCACTATAATCCCAGTGCTAAGCCAAAGCCAACCCGCTGTCAAGCTGACCGACCAAGCCAAGATCAAGGCTCTCACTGAGAGGATACAGGAGGCTGGTACTGAGGTAAATCACTTTTTACTTTTCATTATTTATCAACAACATTTCATAATGGTAGGAGACCTGACCATTGACCAGATTTCAATTATTATATATTGTGTAAACTTACCTTTATTATTATAGCATTCGTACTCTCATAGTAAATGTACTTACCAGAGTACAGACAGTCATATCTTTGGGGAAGGCCACATTCAACTTGTGATTTTTTTTATAGAATGTGGATGACAAACTGACATACAAGTCCATCTGATGGTATGTGGATACTCCAGTCTATGGACACTTGCAGCCATCAGTAGTAGACATCAGCAAAGTATTTTATTTTGTTGATCATTCAATAAACATTAGTTACAGTTACAATTAAATATTAGTTACAACAATTCAGTTATACAACAGATAAACACCGCAAAATTCTTAAACGTTATTCTCGATACACATCTTTAATGGAAAGAATATATTAATAATTTATGCATAAAAATAAATAAGTTTGTTTTTGCACTTCGAAAGGTAAAAGACGTGACAAGCAGACATACCTCTATTATGGTATATCAGGCTTACATTTTCTCCATTATATGGTGTGGCATAGTTGTCTGAGGAAATTTCTGTGACATCACGAGCTGCCATATAAAAGGTTCTGTAGTTCCTTGTGAGTTAACGTTTCGTTTCGAGTAACTGTTAATCCAAGATAGTTACCTACAGTCTTAAAGATTTTTTGAATAAAAGCACTTGCCGATTTGGTGACCACTAAGATACCGGCTCTTCCTTTTATTTCCTGCTATTTAGTCTATTATAATAATTCAATAATTTGTGTAATTGTAATCACTGTAATTCAAATAATTGAAATTTAAAAGATTGTAATAATTGTAATTCAAATAGTTCTTATAAATTGTTATTCAAATAGTTCTAATTATTGTAATTTTATTCAAATATTTGTTGTAAATTTACTATAATTTTGCATGGCCGTAATGAGGGTGAAATATGTCCTGTGCTATAACTTAATTTGACATCTTGTGTACCAACCGCATTTCTTGCAAATAAATGATTTATAATTATAATTATGAATAGTCAAGTGTACTAAGCCTGTTGGGCAATGAATTCTCTTTTTCTTTCTTTAACTCAATTTTTTTATAACAGGTGGTGAAGGCTAAGGCCGGTGGCGGTTCTGCCACACTCTCGATGGCTTATGCTGGTGCTCGCCTCACCGGCTCAGTACTCAGGGGGCTTAAAGTGAGTTAAATACTACAAATAAGTATTCAAGTGATATCTTATTTACCAATACAATAGTGGTACTATATAAAACATAGGGGTACCGTATAAAATATAACCAGATCCACGATTAATTGATTCTTATTTTTGTGATGATTAAGGTTTTTGAAGATAAGTAATCCAATTATTTAATTTCAAGCCAGCAATATTGTTTACCTTTAGTTGTGTTACTTTAACATTTCAGTTGACTTTTTAAATTGTCGGTTATTGACTGATTACGGATTGTTGGTAACTATGATATTATCCAAGTTAATGGTCTCTTTCAATTACTTGAATACTACACATTGGCCTATTAATTATATTAATTAATTCATTTTATGGGTCTTATCATAATTAATGTAAAACTTTTATTCCCTAATTTTCAATGTTGTCAAACTTATTAACACATTAAAGTTAACTTCGAATTAAACCTAAAATATAAGTTAAAGCTAAAGAATACTACATACACATATTTGGTTACAGGGCGAAAGCAACGTAGTAGAATGCGCATACGTCAAGTCCGACTTGACTGAGGCTGGCTACTTCGCCAACCCTGTGATGCTCGGCAAGAACGGAGTGGAGAAGAACCTTGGTTTCGGCAAGTTGAACGAATTCGAGCAACAACTTCTTAAGGCTGCCATCCCTGAACTCCTTAAGAACATCAAGACCGGAGAGGAATTCGCCAAGAAGTAGATCAATGATGCTAGTTAATTTACCAGACCAGATATTATATAGAGAGAGCAGGACTATCCAATAAGTACATAGTGTATTAAACAATCAAAATATGTTTTTTATTCCCATTACCATCTTGTCTGTCTCGGTAGATTGGTCTGTGTGATAGTTGAACCCACTATTTATTGTATTTTGTATAGAATTTTTATTGAAATGATCAAATAATCATAAAAACATATGATTTGCATTTTACAGTTTAGTAATTTATAGTAGTGTATAACAAATATAATTTGTTTAATGTGAATCAAGCAGTGGAATATGAACATCTGCAACAGTTACCATGAGGCTGTGCCCGTGTGAAAGAATGTAAGATTATTGTTTGTAATATAAATTGACTGTCCTGTTGCATGTTATTGCCAGTAATAAAATTACTACATTTATTCATTTTTTTTATTTAAATATCCTCTTTGCCTATCAATATAACTACAGCTAGGTCCTCCCTCTTACCTTTTTCTGCCACCAATTAGTCTCAGGCAGGTCAAGTGACTGTAGGGTCTAGAGATCCAGAGCTTATCTTTTTTCTGCAGCAGTGCCTGCACCACAGAACGCAATTACTCTTTATCAAGTGAAGAACGCCAACTTCATACTAAAAAACGGAAACACGTGTTTGTGTGTATACGAAAAGCGTTACGGTGGACGCCCATATAAAACTTTTTTAGCGGGAATTTCAAACCTTTGTATTCTGTAACTTTAAACTTTTTATTTAAGGCACAGGTTGAGCAAAATGTCGCGCTAGTCGTTATTTGTGCTGTTTTTAGGAGCTATCTACTTTTTATTTAAAAGATATATCAACAAATAAAAAACACATTATTTTTCTACATAATCTTGATACCATAAAAGCTATATCCAATTTTTTTTTAAAGGAATAAATATTAATATAAACTCCTTACAACGAAACCACATAAATGTGAAATTATTATTGATAACATGCATCTCCTCGTAAAGTAAGTATTATTTTATTTTGCGATTTACACCAATGGATAGGCAATTTATTAATGAACATTTCTATAGTAATTTTTTTTTCAAAAGACCAAAATTTGATTTTATTAAGAAATTATTTTAAAATTTGGGCATATTCCTGCCCACGGACTTGCTGAAGTCAGTGAGCCCTGAGCACAGAATACTTTACTCCTAGCGGAGACTGGCCCTGAGCTCTTCGACGTGAAGCTCGTGTCGTTAGAGCGTCGACCAGCGCATACGTCACTCACGTCATATCAGTCGATAATATTATTACTTATTAGGTTATTTATAGTTAGTATTATTTGTTTGTTTTGGATATAATTTTTCGTATTAGTTATACATATATTTGTTGTGTTTTTTACTGCGCGATGAAGCTTTTTGCGTGTATTTTCTTTGAAGTAAATGCAAATAAAAAAATGAAGCACCATTAGCATGTAAGGTTCGAATCCATAATTAAAATTTCGACAAATATTATAATTTACACTATAAAAGGCTAATTCAATATTATCACCCAACCACAATATCTTATTAGGTATAGTACTGCCTCGTTGGTGTAGTGGTTGTAGTAGTGCGACTGCTGATCATGAGGTCCCGGGTTCGAATCCTGGGTCGGGCCAAAAAGTCAGTTATGAGTTTTTCATTTATGTTCTAAGTTATAATTAGTATTACTAAGTTATAGGTTTTTGCTAAAATATAGTATATTATTTATTGCTTGTTTTTTCTTCTTTTTCAAAAAATAATTGAGTACATAAGGTGTTCTATACTTATAATTCGATAAAAAGTATCTAAGTAGGTACTAATATAACTACTTTTTACTATTAACTAAAAAAAATTAAAACTAAATTTAACTAAAAAGACTAAACTGACCATTTATTTTTTAACTCAAAACAGGACATGGGTTTATTTATACTGTAAAAACTATAACTTTATACAATTAGTGTTCACTATAAAATTATATTCGGTATAGACGGTAATTATTAAATCCAACATATTTTTTTTAAATTATTAATTACATTTGTCAGTGGATTAAATTTGCTTTAATAAAGTTGGTGATGATTTTAAATAAGAATAAAATTCTGCTCAAGTTTTTTTATTGTTATCTTTGTTAACAACATCGCCTTTAGAACTCTGGAACCGTAAGTGTTTCTTTCAGACGTCCACAATTTATTCAAAATAAAAAAATTTAAGTTTCTAGTTTTAGTTTTTTTTTTATTATCATAGTTTTTAATATTGTAGATAAAATTAAGTATTATGTAAAACATTGATTTAAATTATTTAAATAAACAAATACTCTTTCTACCGGAGCATTCGTACCAGGTAGACATAAAATATATTCGATTAAAAAAAATTTTATTGAATATTGTTGACTTTGAATACTTCCATCCAACGAGTTACGGGACAATTTTGTGTCCCGGAGCTTTGTTTGGGGACAATGGGACAGGTGACCGAGAAAAGGGACAGTCCCGTTCAAAACGGGACGTATGGTCACTTTAGCTATAACCCGGCGACGGCTCCGTGGCGCAGTGGCGGAATTAGTTGTTGCGTTGGGGGCCGCGGGTTCGAATCTCGCACGGAACAAGTATTTGTATGGCCTACAAATAATTGTTCCGGGTCTGGATGTTTGTCCTTGTGCAATTTATGTTTGTAAACTGCCTCCACGACACAGGAGAAAATCCTAGTGTGGGGGTAACGTTTTTTTACAATTGAAATTGAAAGATTGAACCCTTATACTTCTTGTTGATTTTTGTATTACCTTTATTAAAGTTACCCTTATGTATAAATAAATATAATTACGTATGTAGAAATAAAATTGATTTTCATCCTCATCAATCATTGGGGCGAGGATAATGTCTGCCAGCATAAGTAATAAGCAGGCTAAGTTACAAGGTGCTCAGTTCAAAAATTTGTAGGTAGGTATACTACTTTTCAATACGTGACACGTAAAAATTAACAATAATCAAAAACACATCTACGAAACATCCTATTTATTTATTTATTCTTTATTGCACCAAATATTTGTACAAAAGGCGAGCTATCTATTTATTTACCTATAGTGAATAGGTATCTTTTAAACTCACAATTTTCAATGCTTCATTATTAATATATAATTAATTATAAAATTTTATAATTAGATAATATATGAAAATACATAATTCTAATATAATGCAACTAATATACCGAATAAAAAAATTAAAATACATTTATCGTTGCACGCTGTGTGTATTTCCATAAATTAGTTTATTGATGTTGAAAATGAAGCGAGCGCTGTGCCGCCTGCAAAATGCTCAAGGTCGTTCGCATGGAGTAGCCCCTTAAGGCTTATTCGAGTAATTTTGGCTCAAGCATCACAAACCTATGGGGTAAATTCCCATATATTTGAGAGGTTGCACCAAAATTACTCAAATATAATTTAGATTAGTATGTGGGATAAAATAAAACTATAAATAAGTATAGTTATGTAATTTTATTTTCTGGAAGACAGATTGTTTTATAAACTACATATTATTATTGATGTTTTTTATTGCTTTTGCACGTAATATTTCCACGCACGTTACCAATATAATATAACACATGTTATTGTCAGAGAGTTATTCTTCACAGAACATTAACGTAAATTTAAATCAGCAAAATTCTCATGATGAAAACTTAACTCAGCCCAAATACGTGATCTGAAACAGATACAATTCGAGTCAATATAGTAATTAATAAACCCTACAAATAACGGCCAATAAATTCGAAATGTTTATAGCCTTACCACAATAGTCATAAGTTTCTCTTTTCCTATCATAGGAAACTTGCAGAAAGTGATTAGATGATTTTGTGCTTTTTATTTACACAACACTTAACTTACTTTCGATGATGATCATAAATCGTGCATAAAACTTTGAAATAATGAATTCATTTATAGTCAATATCTTATACAGAATTAACATCTCACAAAAAATATTTACTGTACATTCACGACGATATTATGACTGTATAATTTGCGTACATACGAAAATGAAGTCCATCTAACTGAATTTAAGCAAAAATGAATAATAAATATTAAAAACTTTAATAATTTTATTTAAATCAATTAATAGGTAAACTAATTGTGCGAATCTCAGAGTAATATGTAAGTAATTATAATTTAAAGAGCAAACCAATAATAGTTTAACACCGAATTAACATTTTTATTTTCTTCCCATATAATATGAATTTGTTTATATAATTTTTAAAATGGCAATCTAAAACGAAATTAAAGAAAGAGACAGCGATATTTTATCTCGCTTTATTTTAACAAGCCCAACACGCATATTGACAAAATCATGATTGTGTGCAGATTTTTCAGCTTTCATACAAAGTTGCCTCACCCTGGCCTGTTCCAGTTTTTAAGGCGTATCATCTTAGTGTTCAGAGGTAACAACGCATTTGTAGCCGCCTTCGTTTGAAGTTAGCTGCAGGTGTTCATGGACTGCAGAAGCCACTTAACAGCATGTGGACAAGTTCGTTTGTCACTTCATGTTATACAAAAAATTTTGTACAGCCGACTTCAATATAAGTTATTAAGAATAACTCGAAAACTATTGGTCTGACCTTGATTAAATTCATATGGGACCACACGAGACCACCAGCTTTAAACAAAAAAAGAATCATCGAAATCGGTTCACCCAGTAATAAGTTATGAGGTAACACACATAAAAAGAAACATACAGTCGAATTGTGTACCGTCTCCTTTTTGGAAGTCGGCAGAAAAATATATGCTATTGTTGCTTCAGGTCATGCTAGACAACCACAATTTTTTTTAAAAAGACGCTGCGGTTGCCAACCCTTCTGCCAAGTGTGGCGACTATCCCCCTTATGGAGCAATCCACGGGCTGTAAGGGATGGATGGAATGATGGATGAATTTTCTCCCATTAGACGGACGTTTGACGTTTGTTCGTTCATCTGCATGATGATAAGAAACTTTCGTAATATCTGGATAGAAATGTTGCGTTACCACTAAGTGACGTCATCGCCA